AAATTGGTGAGGCTTTTTACCAAACCTTGTCCAGGAAGTGGGGTGCAAGGTTTTGGGAAGTATTTTGGGGGGAAGGACGTGTCCAAACAGCTCTTCCCCAGTAACCAGTATTAGTTTGGTGGTGGTAGCGGCCAGTCCAAGGACAACGGGTGTAATATTTTGTACCTTGGGGAAGTTTTGACCTAAGCTAGTAAAGATAAGCTTAGGAGGTTTTTCATGCAGGTCCCCACATCTGTACCTTAGAGTTCAGAGTGGGGGAGGAACCTTGACAGAGGCCAATGGACTTCATCGCCCTCAAGTCCTTCAGGCGATGAAGCCTCGTGTTTGTTTTTTCAGAAAAGAGGGCCGAACCCTCAAAAGGGAGGTCATGTATGGTTTGCTTGTAGGGGAGGCCAGAGCCTGGAGCCAGGAGCTCCTCCTCATGGCTATCCCTGTAGCCATAGTGCAGGTGGCTGCGTCCGCTCCATCCAGGGCCGCTTGCAGGGAGGCACGGGTGATGAGCTTGCCCTCTTCTACCAGTACAGAAAACACTGCGTGTGAGTCCTGCAGCAGCAGCTCCACAAACTTGGCCATTGCTCCGGAGGTGTTGTAGCTATACCTGCTAACAATGGCCTGCTGGTTTGAGATGCAGAGCTGCAACTCCCCAGTTGAATACATCTTCCTCCTGAACAGATCTAGTTTTTTAGCCTCTCGGTTTTTCAGGGAGGGCTCCTGGTAGCCCTGGCACTTGCATTGGTTGGCTGCGTCCATGACCAGGGAGTCTGGCAGAGGGTGGGTATATAAATGTTTGTACACCTTGGAAGGGATGAAGTTCCGCCTCTCATTCCTCTTTGCCGAGGTAGGAAAAGAGGCTGGTGTCTGCCATGATGTCTTGGTTGTATCACTGATGGTCTTGATCAGTGACAAGGCATTGCAGGCAGGTCCGGAGGGGGCGAGGAGGGCAGAGAGTCGGCATCCTCCACCACTTCCTTTGCCTTTGATGTCCAGGTTCTGTGCCACCCATTGCAGCAAGATCCTGATGACTTCCAAAGCCGAGGCCATTGACTTGCCCACCACCGCCTTGTCTGGGGAGGACGAAGATGAGAGCCCTGCAGGAAGCGGGCCCTGCTCACTGTCCTTGGTCCGAGGCGGTCTCGCGGTGCCCAATGCCCCCGTGTCGCCAGCACTGGGAGGAATGGTGCAGACACCGCAGGTGGAGTGGGAGCCGCCAGGGCCAAGGCCAATGGCACCGAGGCCACTCGTGCTGGTGCTGTGGATACTGCGGACATCGGTGCCAGAAACCTCGGCACTGAGGGGGCCGCTGGTGTCGGAGCCCCAGCTGCTGACTGGGGCAGCGCTAACGCCGATGCTCCTGGGGCCGCCACCGCCTGTGGTGGCACAAAGGATGCCGAGGCCACCGACGCTGATGTAGAGTGCAACCCCCGAGTCTGGTGAAATGCCCTGGGCGTCCAGAAGGGCCACTGGGTCAGGGCCTGCCAGTCACACCGGGACCTGGTCCTCCTGCTTCTGCTGGAGGACACAAGTCCGCCTCCGATGACTCCGAATAGGATGATCATGGAGGAGCAGTGCTCATAGGTGTTGGTGATTGGCACCGTGGACTGGGGGACAGGTGTAGGTCCCCTGTATGGGCGGCCCGTGCTGGGGAATGATGCATAGGCGATGGGGAGTGCCATACCATCATTGCTGGCTTGCCCTTCGATGGTACCGGTGGATGAATCTGCACCAGAGACTTGTCACACCTTACGGAGGAAGACGGCAGCGTGAGCTCCAGCAAGTCCCAAGCAGCTCAAACGCCTCTGGCATGGAGGGCAGCTGCAGCTCTCGGCTGTGTCAGGCCAGAAAGCAGGGGGGTCCGGTCTCGACTGAACCTTTGTGGGAGCAGGAGGAGGAGTCGACATGAACCTGGTAGGCAGTGGGGCAGCGGTGTGGCCTGACTCGGGTCTCACGGCAGCAGGCTCTTTAGGTTTGGCTGGGCAAGAACGGACGCTCTCCAGCCTCCTTTTCCTTTGGGGCACTAGAGATTGAGACTGGAGTCTCCCTGTGGCCTGTATCTTGCCAGCAGAGCTGTGGCGGTGCCGAGGGTCTGTAGAGGAGTCCTTCTCGGCACTGGCTTGCGTGCCACTGGTGCACTTCACATCAAGGAGGAGGTGCTTTGAGTTGGCTCTGCTGAGCCAGGGTCCAATTGTGGACTGCGCGTGGCCTCCATCAGAAGGATCTTAAGGCGCTACTCCCAGTCTTTAAGGGTTCTCTGGAGAAACCCCCTGCAGATCCTGCAGCACTCCTTCAGGTGGCTCTCCCCCAAACACTTCAGACACGAAGCATGCGGTTTCGCTCCTGGGCATAGACTTGCCACAGTCCTTGCAGGCTTTAAACCTAGGGGAGTGAGTGGTGGGTCAGCAGGGCCCTATATTGAGTGCCATGAAGGCACGACCCTAGGGGGCACCCAGGCCAACCCAACAGATACTGCAAGGGGAAAAATTTTCCCGCTGCTATGCAGGGAGTGTGCGCACACCAGATTGGAATTGACATGAGCAATCACTCGAAGAACAGACCATTTTCTACTGTGTAACAATATTCTTTTTACTCTTCTGGGCCGGTTGTTTCTCATCCAGTGAACCATTGACCCGACATGCTTTGAGATAAAGAACTCTGAGATTGGGGTGAAGAATCTTCCTGTCTTCCTGGGAGAGTAGATGTGGAATGGCCTGGAGAATGATCAGTGAGTAAACAGCCAGCTGTATCAGGTAAGGAAACCATGTTTATCTGGGCCAGGTCAGAAGTATTTGGATGACTCCTGGAAAAGGGCCTCTAGTCTATTGAATAAGTAGGAGAGCCCTGTACTGATATTTGGGAGACCCAAGGCAAAGTTATCAGAATCCTCTTCCTCCAATTCACCGTGAAATGGTGGAGCATCAGAAGAAAACGGAGGTGAAGTTGTCGGTCCTGGGCAAATTTCTAGAGATCTTAATGACTGAGGCAGCTGAAAAAGAACTGAGGGCAGTTTGCCCATGCAGTGCTATATAACAATGGCACAGGGCACGAGACTGAGTGACACGCATGCTGAATGGACACTACTATGAGAAATCACCAATCAAAGGCACATGTGGAGCACCCCTAGGGATCCTACTTGAAGACGACTAGTTAATTGCTTCCTCTTTGTAGTTGCTTTCTCATTCAGGGCTGAAGCAGCACACTGTGTTTGAGAGCCAAAAGGCATGGGCCAGCTGCTGAGAGTTTCAGAGCAGCAAACACACTTATTTCCTGGTATCCCTGAGAATCACAGCAATTGAGGTAAATCACCCAACAGAAGAGAGACCTGGTACATTTGTGGCCTTAAATGGGATCCTACATTGGACTGGGAGCCAGTGCAGCATAGGAATCATCAGGTTGAGGTGGTCTCAAATTTCCCTGTTAGTAGTGAATGCCTCTTTGGTGTCAGCCCTACCTACTGTATAGAACATTGCAATCATCCATGCCTGGAGGTAACAAATATGCATCCACTCTTTCTAAAACACATTCCTAATTCCACTGGCCTAGAAAGTTAAGAGCCAACCAATTTGAACTGTAATTTAGCCATTTGAGGGAAGCTTTATTATTTGAGTTTTGCATATGATGAGTATACTGGATTCAAATTGATATAGTACTTTTCACTTCAACACTGGCAAATGTCTACCAAAAGCATTAGCAAAATAAGTCAAAACATTGAAAAAATATTTGTCAGGGTGGCACAGCATGGTAAATTGTCACCCTCACTTCTGTGCTGCAACTGGACTGAGTAACTGGAGAGCAGGGCTGCAGAGGCTGCTGGTGACGATGGGGAGCCCTGCCCAGTGCAGCATGCACCCCCAACTTAGGCCTGCCCCCCATGCACCCAATCCCCCACCTAGGTACGCCCCCCCAGCAACCTCACCCAGCACCCCTAAGGACTACCCTCATAGCATTCAACCCCTCCATCCAGGGATTGCCCCCAGCTACCAGTCCTCCCATGTAGAATCTGTCCCTCATGCATGGGCTGCATCCTGCAGCCCTAGTCCCTGCACCACCTCCCTGTGCTCATTAGTTTCCTACCTCAACGATACACCATGCCCTGCCCACCAGGGTCCTAGGGCCAGGGAGCCTGCTCCAGCTGGGGTAACTGGACCTGCAATCCTGCACAGCGGGGTGCTGAGCACCCTAGCCTCCTCCCAATGCTGCTGGGCCCAATTCTGCTGGGGGGGCACTGCTGCTGCTAGGCCTGATCCTGCACTGCCCCATTCCCCTCCCCCTGGCCCGCTCTGCATCCTGGGCTGGTGCTCCTCCCACTCCATCCTAGTTACGGCCCGGAGGATGTCACATGGGCCACAGATGGGTGTTGATTGTGCTGCATTGAGAACCACCATGCTAAACCCTGAGTACTCCTTGGCTGTGCTCTCATTGCCACCTGCTCAGACAACATGAGAGGTTGAACCATTTCTTGTTATCTTATATTGTGGAACTGCAGACATTTGCTCAATTGACTGATCCTATGAAGCACTGAATTTTGCAAATAATCAAAGGCAAAAACACCACACTGGTGGGAGACAATTCAGGACGAAACACATTTTATTGTACTGTAACACTAAAAGGACACAGAGTACTGCAGAGAATCACTCCAATGGGGATTTTTGGATTCATGAAGAGCTGGCTCACTTGAGGCACAAGTTACACTACTGTTTATGTACCTTGATTCAGAGTTCTGGTATGTGAATCTACACTGTGTTCCCTCTAAGTGGCATAGTTCTATAGTAAAGCTACTTTTAAGTTAATAGGTGATAGATTTAAGCCATGGGGTGGCCAAAGCACAGCCCAATGTCCAAAGGAACCCTCTGGAATATTACCCTCCCCCCCCGCAACTCATCTGTCTGCTGTTTCAGATACAGAGATAGGGCCTATGGATTCCTTGTTCTGTTTAACTCCACTAACAAACAATGTAAACAAATATTAGTTGCTGGTTAACAAAAAATATAAGTTCAGGCAGAAACTATATCTATGCATATTTATTTCTGATAAAGAACAGTACATAACATTCAAATTAGGTGCAGCCATTGGGCTCTTAGCAAGTTGTCAGTGTGGTTCCAAGTCACAATGTTTGGGCACCCTTAAGAAAGGTAATGGAGAACATTTTCACCAAGAGATAAGAAAGATTTCAATATCTTAAAATAGTTGACTTCTACAGGAAGGAAGCAGGAATCAAGTCAGTAATTACAACCAGGCAAGCCTGTTCTGCTGGTTGGAAAGACAAAAAAAGGTCTAACATCACAATAGAAAGATGCAATAAAATTGAGAGAGAGATACAAGTTTCAATACCAGAAGCAGCATTTGAAAACAAGCTGTTTAAAGAAGTTGCAGATTGTACGCATGAATGCACATGCTAGCATTCTCCTCCTCCTACCCTGTAGCTGTGTTTTAAAACACAAAGTCTTGGGTTAAAAAAAAAAACACATATGAACAAGAATTAAGATTTGCAATAGCTTTGTCTACTTAATGAGGTTAGTAAAGAGATGAAAAGGAAAAAACCACATTCACTACTGGAACAGTAGTTACTCAGTAAACCCCATCATTACAAACAGCTTCTGACTTTTAAAGCAACAAGACTAAACAGACAATTACTTTAGATTATTACTATGCTTATAAATTACATCAGTTAAAAGAAAAAAAGCCAAGCAGTTTTGCCCTATTTCAAAAATAGCTTCCGATCAGCAGTTACATGGTGAAAGGGACTTTACAAATAAATGAAGACTGGTGACATCTTTGGGTCAAGAATGACAAGAAAGTATGGGCTCTGTGCTACCGATCAACCTCAACAAGAATATGGCACAATGGCCAGCACAAGCCGTACCAACACTGAACCTTTCACACTCATCACAAATTCAGATCTCTTTTCTTAAACTAGTATATCTGGTGAAATGACTGGGTAAAAAAAAGTTAAAAACTTAGGTCAAAAATTGGAAAGTAAATTAAAAAACACCTTTGGACATAAAATAATTTTCTATTGATGTATCAGTTTATATGAACTAAAAACCACTGATTTCTCTAACAAAAGGTATAACCAGATTATTTTCCTTTCACCCCACTGTTAGCTGCAGATACAATCTCAGATCTAAGAGATTGAAACACAAAGGAGAAAAAAATTACAGCATCTGTTCGACATTCTCTACAAACACCTGTTGGGAGAAAAGTAAAAATTAAAGGAATAAAGAAAGGAAGTTTCCATCTGAAATACTCTCACAATCTTTCCCAGTCCATAGTTCAATGAATCCAACTCTGATGCTAAGGTGACAGTGTATATAAGTAGAATTTTTTTGTTATTTTTTTATTTTATTTTTTATTTTTTGAGTTTCACTGAAGAAAACCAGGAAAGAGGCCGAAGTCTCTTCAGGAATTATCGGATGGAACATGCTCTTCAAATCCCTCACTCTCTCGGACCAAAGCTCTTTCCAGGATAACACGGCCTTCCTTGTAGCGCTGGCTGTCTTCAGTGGCAAATTCATAGATCCAACCCAGTTTGCTGTTGCAGTTCTTGCAGCTCACATCTCGAACCATGTGGCGGCCAGTGAGCATGACCCGATCTTGAACTTCACTATATTGCAGATTTACCACCTGAGAAAAATATAAAGGGGATGAGAAGGGTTAAGCCTATCGAAGGCAAGACTCTTAAAGCCATATTCCAGTTACTAGGAAATCCAAAGCACCTCTGTCGAAGTACAAAACGTCTAAGTGAAGAGCCTGTGGCACTGTGCATATTAGGAGCTGAAACGTAACAGATGCAACTATCGAAGTTCTGCTGCCTGTGCGGGCAGAGCTTGCAAAGATCAACCTCACAAGGGTGTTCTAAGCCTACTTTGTTTTTCAAGCACAGCGAGATCCTGCTACAAAAAGCACAAGTATTTAGTTTGCCCAACTAAGGCATAGCAATTAGATAAGGCTACTCACAATCCGATAGTTTAGTAACCCCTTGATGTCAGAAGTAATTTCTTGATACCAAACCCATTATTAGCAATGGGTGTGGTGACAGGAATAGATCGGTCAATTTAGTCACTGGAATATTAGAGTTAAAAGCTGTTTTTCAGGGAAAAAATTAAGATGAGATTTAAGAGTATAAATCCCATTGACTTTCAACAAAGTTCAATGGGACTTGGGCTCTTAAATCCCTTTGGTAGTTTTGAAAATCCCACCTCCTGAGAAAGATAAACTGAGTGAGCTGACAAGCGTATGCCTTTTAGGGCTGGTACAAATGCATGCCTTCCCTTCCTTAATCCTAGCAGTTAAAAAAATCCACCTGTAACTTGTTTAGTTAACTAAACATGTGGAAATAGTGTAAATAATTTGCTAAAAAAGCAATGTCTATGACAACTGTAATGGAGATTCCATTTAAATAATCTGATACTTTACAATGATGCAAATTGGGGTTGCAGAGAACAACAATCAAAGCCTTAGCCAAAACTCACTGTTTCTCAAACAGAATTTGGACCCAAAGATCCAACACTTTTTGGACTAGTATGAGGACAGATTTACTGCTGTCTTTCCTTACACATGTGCAGTATACGGAAGACGACTTGCATATATGACCTACTGACAGAACTCAACACATACCACAGTAGTGCTTTCTGAAACCACGCATAACTAACTGAAGACACTTCTGCCTGTACCTGGGAGGACTATGCTGACAAAAATGCGTTACCAAGGTCTGGTTGCTGATGGTCAATTTCAAGAAAATACATCCCCGATCACCTGGCCATATTTGTTGAGAAAGCACAGAAAATTTGTGTTAAGTCAGAGTCAGCCTAAAAAAATCTGGTCTCTACATAAATATTCCCCCCCGGAGCCATATTCTATTCTCATTCTCAACTCTGCCAATCTTAGCCCTGGTCTACACTGGGGGAGGTGTGGGGGTGTGGAAATTGATCTAAGTTACCCAACTCCAGCTATGTGAACAACATAGCTGAAGTTGACATACTTAGATCGACTTACTGTGGGGTCTTCACCGCAGTGAGTCGACTGCGGCCGCTCCCCCGTCACTCCACCTGCACCTCTTGCGGTGGTGGAGTACAGGAGTCCACAGGAGAGCACTTGGGGGCTGATTTATCGCGTCTAGACTAGACGCGATAAATCAACCCCCACTGGATCGATTGCTGCTCGCCGATCCGGTGGGCAGTGTAGACATACCCTTAGTCAAGATACCAACTTCTACATCACTATACATGCCTGTAAAATGGGGACAGTATTTATCTACACACTTGCAATGGTGTTGTGAAGTTTAAAGATATAGCAATGGGCACAGTATAAAAATCTGGAATAGATTAGACAAAAAATAAATGTAAATCTCTTTGGAACCCTGCGTAAAAGTATTATTACAATGAACCTGAACTTTACATTATAGAATTCAGAATACTTTGAGTTTAACTGCATGCACTTTGGCAAGATACGAAATTCACAATCCTCCCTGTAGCCTTTTAAGCACTAACTGCAATCGTTTAGGCAGTTTATGGTGAAATTTCAATGACCTAAAGAGCAACTTAGAAAGGAAAAAAAACACCAAACCCCCCCCCCCCCCCCAACACCCTTTAAACAAAAAATCACAACAGCAGGATGTCGACTGAATCCAAGAAGATTTAACAGTTAACATGATGGATTCTTAGCCCCCCACAAACTTGATTTTCAAAAGCAAGAAGATCTCTCTCTCAGCATCTAATTTCTTACCAACCTTATTAAAAAGGAAGGCTCTCCCTGTGGCCCCTGTAAAGCGAGTTGATATGAGCTCAGAGCGGTTGGTCAGGATTGTATCACAGTTTGCACAAGAGAACAGACGAGTGCCACCAATATGGTCCAAGAAAATTCTGCCCATTTTTATGAGTTCTTAAATTTAGACTCAAGACCTGAAAGCAAACAGAGATATTTCATCCATACAGCAAATTAACATAAGACTTCCTCTAACATACAGCCAGAACACATTGCAGGGCAATTCAGCTGATGAATACACAAACTCTTTATGATCTATAAAATATTGAACTTACAGTTTGTGTTCATCCTTTATTCCTTAACCCTGATGGAAATAGCGACTAAGAACCTAACCAAAATCAGGAGGGGCTCTCCTAAATTTTCTTCTTTGTCCCAGCAGAATGTTATAATTTTCAGGAATGCGTTATGAAGAAACCAGTAAATATACAGCTGGCAGATCAGAACTCTGTAAAATTTCCAAGTGGTGGGCAGCTTTTAACTAAATCTCTCCCTTTGACTTAAATCAATATCGTGCAGCTTACACCCCACACAATATTTGAAGGGGGCGGGGAGAAGCACAGAAACCCAGAGCAACCTCAGGTCTTAATTTCCTTACTTGTATGTGGCTAGAGCTGAATCCTTAACCCTTAATTTTAAAACCAGATTTTTTAATCTCATTTCCTTCAGATTTTTAGTAGAACAAAAATAAGAGTTTGTTTTTAAGAAGGTGACCATCACAGTCATTACAGTGACATTTGTGTTGTCATAGCTACACCATCATGTCAGTACAGGTATTTGACACTTCCATTATAAAAAAAGCATTTCTGAGTTTGATCAGACTTGATACATGGCCAATTCAACTGATTTGATAACTGAGTTGTCTCTGCACTGGGTATGAAAATCCCACCCAGTCAGTTGCCTGAGACACTTCAAGGAGGACCAAGAAAGCGTGCATAACAGTGTTTAACATAGGTAGCCTGGGCGTTTAACATAGTAGGCTGAAGCTGAATTCAGGCAAGATTGAGGTTATGCTGGTAGGGGGAAGGAGATGCTTGAAAGGATTTGCCACATCCGTACCATCCTCCTCCAGCAAAAGAATCAGCCCTCCAATCCTTAAGATAGTTAAGTCTTGGGGTCCTTCTGGACTCCTTGATACTTCAAATAACCAAATTGTTTAAAAGTGCCATCTTCCATCTATGGGTAGCCTGAAGACTGCACCCTTGTCTGCCAAACTGATTTGGCCACAGTGATACAAGCATTCATTATCTCCCGATTACTGCAATTTATCATACCTATGAGTGGAGCTTTACCAGGGTCAACAGCTTCAGTCAGTTGAGAACACAGCAGCTACTCAGCAACACAGAGTACTGGACAGAAGATCATACTCTGCTCTCTACATTTGCTACCCATGGGTGGGGGGAGAAATCAAATCCTGATATTCCAAGTCCTCCACAAACTGGCCTCAATTACCGGAAAAACTGCTTTCTCGATATGCAAACATGATTTCACACAATTACTCAGGAACTATCAGACATGTGGGATTCATGAGCATGGGAGGACATTTTCCTCAGCAGCTGGCCTACAATAGTGGAATTCTCTCTGAGCTCATTAGAAGGAGCACAAATCTCATTAACTTCAAAATAACATGCAAACTTCTTTTAACTTAGTGTGTCTTTATTTTATTCATTTAGTAAGGAAATGTTAGATGGCAGAGCAACTTCAGATACCCAAGATAATTGGGAAAAATGTTTAAACTTGTAAGGCACTCCAATAAGATGATGTAAGAACTTAAAGTAGGGGTGTTCACTCTATTCACTGAGAGGTACCATGACCTATCAAAATAAAATGTTTACCTGAACCTTAGAAAGTAACAAGGATGTATTTGTTTTAAAGTCCAAAGAAAAATCATCAGTACTTCAAGTCTAGATAAAGCATTTATTTGATTTTAAGGTTCTCTTCTGGTACATGTAAATTCATTATATAAATATGTGATATCTTAATGTAAACAACATATCAAAGGGTATTGACCTCTTATATAGGCCACTGTTATGCTGACCAGTATTGTCTCACTGTTTCTCTGTACTCCCCCATAGGTCTGTCTGTATCCATCTGTTGTTCGTCTCATATTTGAGGTGGGGACTGTTTTTTTGTTCTGTGTTTGTACAGCACCTAGTACAATGGGGTCCTGGTTCATAACTAGAGCTCCTAGGTGCTATGGTAATACAAATAAATAATAAGTCAAGATATTTATCATAATACTGAAGTTATTTTCTCATTAGCATTTATAAATCTCCTTGGAAGCCTGCAACAAATCTGTTCATTAAAAAAGAAAAAATGCCCTTCACTGCACTTTTATACTGTTTTGTTATTAGACAAATGCTGACACTGTTTTGTTGCATTTTGATCAATGATGCAGTTATGTTTTAAAAGCAAATACACTTTCTTCCTTAAGAATAAGCAATTAACAGGGAAAGGTAGCATTAAATAGAAAATTTCCATGACTATCCAACCATACATGTTTACTATATTAAAAATAAGAAAATAGTGTGTGCAGTTACCTAACAAAACTGGAAAGAAAAAGTCATTGGTTCTCAAACATTTTCATAGTATGGAATAAATTGGTTAGTCTCTAAGGTGCCACAAGTACTCCTTTTCTTTTTGCGAATACAGACTAACACGGCTGTTCCTCTGAAACCTGATAGTATGGAAGGTAACCTAAGATTGTCTCAGACACCTCACCTTGTTGGATCATATTAAAGAAGTTCTGTATTAAAATCACAAATGAGTTTGATTCCCCAGAGTTTAAATTCCAGGGTATTACTAATTAAGAGGTCTCTTGGTTTTTGGTACTGTTTCTCTCCCTCTATGTGTGAAACTTGCAAGCTGCTAATTGTGTTAGTACATTCTAAGACAGAGTCTATTCTCAAAGCAATTCACAGAGAGAGAGACTCAAAGCAATACTCTAACAACAGAAACAGCACCCAGAGACTCCCCATCCTTTTGTTGTATTAACAATTGTGATTAAAATAGAGATAGAGGATGTGTGTGGATAATAACTGAATGATCAGGGAGGTGCCAGCCTAAGAATCCAGTGTCCATCGGCTGAAGAAGGCGTCAAGTGGAAATAACCAGAGGACCCCCCCCGGAGGGCAGACTGGAATCCACCCAACAGCCTCAAGAATGGGAGAACCAAAGAACAAGATAACATCTTGGAGCCGTCAGGAATGTGCTATCTGCTGATTGATTCAGCAACAGCATGATGAAGCAATTCCCATAGACTGGCATAGGAAGAAATTCCTATAAAAATAGACTCTAAAAAAGTGAGAACTTTGGGGTCTGATTCTGCAAACCAACTTCCAGGAGCATCAGATGAGCATCTGACAAGGCCCTGCTCCCTCCTCATGTCCAGGCCACCTGGCCAGTGGCTTGGCATGAGCAACTCTAAGGCTGGTAATTATGATAACAACCTTGCAGAACCAGTGTGTGTGTGTTTGTATGAATGAATGTGTGAATAAATATGAGATTGAATGGAATGTTATAACTAGAACTAACTGCTTACTATGATTCTTTCTGTATTCACAATAAATGTGGTATTTTGCCTTTTTCCCTTTAATAAGATCCTGCTGGTTTTTATTTTATTGGTACAACAACCTCCCATTAAGTACATGACTGGCATCAATATGGAAGGAAGTGGTCAGCCCACTGATTATTATATAATCTACAGCAATTTATATAGAACAGTAATATTAGGAAAAATGTATTTTTAGCTGTATTTAGCAGCAGAAGTAAAGAACTAGCACTATATGACAGCACTACACAGCCTATCAATGCTTCAGTCACTACTGTTTGAGAACCTCTTCTCTAAAATGCCCTTGTAGTACAAAGCATGTGAGCCCTGTTTGTTTAAATGTCTGCTTAAGTCTATTGCATGCAAGTCAAGAAACGGCTTTTGAAAATGGGATCTGTGCATTTTCATAGAGTTTTAACTTTGTTTCCAGACTCCAAATCCAGATCAGCCAATACTGCATTTGTGAGATGGTAAAGTACTCTGGGTAATGTATGTAAGGGCCCAATCCAATTTCCACTGAAGTCGCTACCAAAACCTCTTTTGTCTTCAATATGAGGTGGATGGAGCTCTAAAGTTAATTTTAGAATAACGTTGTTTTGCTTGTAGGAATCCTAAATCTAATACTGCTGCAACTATTGTCTTTTGAAATTGACTAGTCTCTAGCCAAGTCGGATCAAATGTGGGAGTATATGATCAATTCTATACCAAAACAGTGAATGCCTATTGTGACCCTAAGAATCCCTATATTCACACCCTACACACTATTGTAATAATCTTTGCACAAAACATGCTTTGTGAGGTATCATTTGAAAACTGCCTAATCATTAATATTTTTGCATGATGCATATACACAATGTGTATTAAAAGTATGGATATAGGCTAGGATTATTACTAAAGTATGATTAAACCAGGCATGTTGAAAATGTGTTTAAATCAGGGAGCTGGTGAACAGGTCTGCCTTAGACAAAGGAACATGTGTTTGATTCTCTGACTAGCCCGGTCTTCAGGAAGGTCCATTTTTACTTATTTGGTAAACAAAGCTATTAAGCTACCAAGTGGGGGAAGAAACAGCATAGAGCTTTCTTCATTAACAGACTCCATGTCACTTTCCTCACATCTTGCATAAACTTTACTTAGAGGGATCACCCAAGCCGAAACAGCTACACTGCAATGTCATAGCTCTGCAGCCTGAGTCATCTGACCCAGACCAGCTATGGGTGTTTTATTGCTGGGTAGACATATGTGACTTGCTCAAGGTCACACAGGATGCCTGTTGCAGATCAAGCACTAAGCACTGGACTAGTCTCTCATTCTATTGATTTCAACAGTACTACTCACAATTGTAAAGTTAGCAACATCATGACTATTTGCAGGATCAGAGCCCTGGGCAGTCTCCAAAGCCAAACAAAGCTGTGAAGCACCATTCAGACAGTGCAAGAGAAACTACCTCAGGGTAGAGACTGTCCTTGTACTGGTGTTTATACAGTACCTTATACAGTGAAGCCCCAATCTGATTACAGGTTTCAGAGGAACAGCCGTGTTAGTCTGTATTCGCAAAAAGAAAAGGAGTACTTGTGGCACCTTAGAGACTAACCAATTTATTTGAGCATGAGCTTTCGTGAGCTACAGCTCACTTCATCAGATGGGCCCTACTGTAATACAAATAAGAGTCATCACAATGTGCCCCTTCAACACTTGTAGTACAGTCCTGGAAAAGTACTCAATACTGTAATAGACATTTTCACAGCTGCAGTCTTCTGCAAAACAGCTATTCCACAGCATAGCCTCTCTACACACAATTGCCTGTGGCCGTTTCCTCCTTTTGTTGCCATATGCTAGTAGGACAACAGCAGGAGATGAGCACAGCAGGACATATTGGAGTGCTCTGAACCAGGAGGGAATGGAAGTACAATCAGATGTACTAAGTGAGTGAGCCTGAAGAGCAGTAACTTACAACTGCGAACCACAGCCTCAGGCTGTAATGATTGTGGCTCCTGTATTCAAAACCGTATGCTCCCTCCCCATTTTAGAATGTATTCTCTCTACTGAATCCCTGACATGCCATTCCAATAAAACTCATCCATCTTAGTCAACACTTGGATACATCACTTAGTATTACCACAGATATAGTGAATCAGCAGGATGGTTACAGATAAATTTTTCTAAGTCACTTTAATTCTTAGTCATGTGCCAAGCTTGTCAAAATTTGTCACATACAACCATGTAGTAATGCTTCACTATTACACACAATGCTAAAAATCATCCAGGATGCTTTAGTTCCTCTAGTAAAGCAGATTGGGCCGCAATACTTCGCTGCCTGTTGCAGAACCTGGCAACACTATAGCTTCATATACATAATAGTGTAGTTAAGCTTCAGATGCTATTTCACATAAACAACCCACCTTCCAGAGGCTTTAGAAGTAGACAGCTTGTATATAAACATTTTCTATTTAAATAAAAATGGATAGCTTAAAATGTTTGTGTCTACCCTGGGTATTTCTAGGCACTATCACCAAAGCAGCTGAGCAATTCTCCTAACCTGCAAAAAGGAGCTAAAGTAAGTTAGTTGTGTTGATGTTGCCAAGATATTGAAAGTTAGCCATTAATTATGCATAGAAGATACCCAAACAGCAAAAGCAGATAATGAAGGATAACCTGCATTAAACAGAGGAATACATTTTAAAGTGGACTGTTACTGAATCATTTATCTTATTTCCATTTCTCTCTTAAAGAAGCTTTACAACCAAACAACTTTTGTTTCTAGAAGCTCAGTTAAAGTACTGCTTTCTTTATGTTTCAGGTCAAGAAGCAGTTACCAAGAAGAATCAGAAGAGAATATCTACCTTCTCTTCCCCTATTACTACATCGTACATAATGCACCAAATTCATTCTGTGTGAGGAATGGTGTTTGGTTTTCTTGTGAAGATCATACATTGGACAACCAGAGACAGGACACCCAACTTGGACACTTAGTCTGATCTGATATGGTGAATCTTAAGATAAATATTTTCCCACTTCAGATTTCCATTTCTAAAGGTTCTATCTCCTAAACTGAAATAATTTGCTTCACAGTCATGAAACAAAACTAATTAAACACAAAAATCTCATCCATTCTCACCTAAAACATACTTTTAAAGTAGATGGCAGTGATTTTCTTGTTGCTTTGTATTGCCAATTTGTATGGTAATGTGGTTTGTTTGGTAATGAAATAAGCAGCCTATTATTGAACAGAATTATTTTACCACAGGTTTTATGTATTAAAATTTTGTTTGAATTACGTGTTTCTCAAAAATCTTATTCAGTATTTAAGTATATATAACTTCAAGGTAACAGTGTTAGATTCTGCATCTCCTTTTCAGTCAGCATGTACTGTGCTTCTTTTAAAGAGTAAATAAAGCAGGTCTCTCTACTTGATAAAACAATTTCAACATTACAGTTGAATTTTAAGTGGCAAGATATCCCTTTCTAGCACGGTTTTATCTTACTTGGTAAAAGAAGGGAGGTAAAAGCAGCAATAAAAGAGTTTAAAATTTTTGTAACAAATGGAAAAATGGTGAAGCTGATAGGAAAAGAAGACAATTGATAAAGTAAACTAAAGGAAGCTGTGAAAAAATCCACAGCCAGTAAGCTTAAAAATGACAAATATAATCAGGAACAAATGAAATCCCACAAATGGTATAGGCCTAACACTGAACAAGAATGACAAAATCATCATGAAAAGGCAGAAGTATTCAGTAAATATTTTTCTTCTGTATTTGGAAAGAAGCTGGATGGTATATTCATATCTTACAATGATAATGAAATGCTCTAGTCGAATGGTAACTAAAAACCATGTAAAAGAGCAACTATTTAATGTTAAACATTTTTAAGTCTGCAAAAATGGATAACTTGCATCCAAGAGCATTAAAATAATTGACCAATGAGCTCTCTGAACATATCCTGCAATACTGAGGAAGTTCCAGAGGACCTGAAAAAAAGTTAACGCTGTGTCAATATTCTGAAAAGGGCAAATGGGATATCCTAGGAAGCTACAGGCCAGTTAACCTGACATTGATCCTGGTCAAAAGCATGGAAAGGTGGATACAGGATGTAATCAGTAAAGAATTCAAGATGATAGCATAACGAATACTAATCAACATGGCTTTATGGAAAAAAAGTCTTGGAACAAAAGGAAATGGGAGACTGCATCCTGAAAACAGACACTGAAAAGGACTTGGCGGAGACAACCAACTAAACATGAACCTCCAGTGCAATGCTGTAGCTAACAGGGCTAATGTAATCCCTGGAAATATAAACAGAAAATATCAGCTAGCGTAGGGAGTTGATATTACCTCTACACACAGCATTAGTGAGATAGACACCATGTTCCAGAATCTAAGGATGTTGAATAATTGGAAAGGGCTCAGAAAAGAATTACAAGAATGATCTGAGCTCTAGAAAACACACCTTATAGTTAGAAACTCAACCTATTTAAAGTTTATCCAAAAGAAGGTTCAGAAGTGATTTGTTCATGTTGTACAAGTGCCTACTCGGGGAAGAGATTTCTGATGGACTACTTTTTAATACAACAGAAAAAAGGCATAATGATATACAAACAGTTGGAAGGTAAAGTTAAGCAAATTCAGACTAGAAATAAGGCACCCAGTTTTAACTGCAAGGGTAATTAAACCAAAAGAACAATTTACCTAGAGATGCAGTTCTCCATCACCAAGTTTTGGTCAAGACAGGATGTCTCTCTTGAAGAAATACTGTAACTTAGACAAAAGTTTTGGACTTCATGCTGAAATTACTGCGTGAGGTTTTATGGCCTGTTATGCAAGAGGTCAGGCTAGATAACCATAAGGGTCCCTAAAAATCTATGACTAGCAATTAATGTAATCCTTACTACAGTTTCTAACATTTTAAAAATCCACACACCTATCTTCCCCATTACAAATTTTAGCCTTATTGCAAGGATAAAGATCTGGAATACTTATTTGGGCTCCGGATTTTATAACTACTTGATAAAAATCCAATTATTTTAGTAAGTAAATGAGGTCTAGTTGAACCGCTCTAAAGTCTACCTCATGCACAGTTCTTTAGGTTATATATAAATCTAGAAATTAACGTGAAATACAGTAGTAATTACAAAATGAATGCTAAAAGAAAGGCCTTAAAAAGCTGATTTGATCTTGAGTATCCTGGACAAGCTGTATTGCTATCAAGGAGCAGGAAAACCCTAGGAAAACTCTGAATTTGGACTTGAGACGCTTCCCTGAAAAAATTAAGGTAAGCACCAGTTTAGCACTAACTTACCTGCAGAACACACAAGTTGAGGGGATATTTTGCTGTGGACAAAGGCTAGCTGCCCTTTCATACATACTGATGCTGAGCCCTGCAAAGGAATTTGTCTGGAGTATAGTCAAGTATGTCTTGAACCCATACAGCAGAGGCAAAAAGCTGCCTTTGTACCTTCCAGACTAGCATCCAGTGTCCCTAAATGGAAGGTACAATATCACCCAAGATAATTGGTCTAAAATTTTATTTTTTTCAGATTTCACATCCCATGTAAGAGGTATGGGTGTATATTTATTCACTGTCTCATGCACACATAGGGTCTGAAAAATCCACTCACTGGTGGGAGTGGGATGCCTCTCTCCAGTGAAAGAGAGACTAAGGCTTTAATTCTGCAGAAACTAAATGCCTTTGTTGAAAAAAGTTTAGACCTCCAGTTACAAAAGCCAAGGTTCCAATGACGGAAGAGTATAAACCAGTCCAGCATTGTCTCCCTGCATCTATATAGAAACAGCTACAGTGGACTTCTCATAGTAGTTCAAGTTCTCTGCTGATATTCATAACCCTGGAGACAGCAGCAGAGCTATCAAAAATCATGCCAGTTCCATGCTGTTCTTGAGGAAGCTATAAATAGCACCAGAGACAGGTATCAGAGACATTTACAGGGAAGGACCCAAAATGGAGACTTCTTATCCCCAAGCCCTTCCTCAAAGCAGCTATGCAGCCTCCAGTCGTTCCTCACCCTCTAATAAATGTGCACAAGAGATGCAACGTCCTTATGGAAAAGTTTACAAATTTTAACAGAAAAAACAACTACTTGGACAATATTCAAGTGAATATCAGTATTCTGAATCAAGTGATTCAGAGTCAGTAATCAAATATGAAACTTTTAATCGCTTGATCGAAGTAGCAGTTGATAGCAACTTTTATGAAGTGAATTGCAAGTATCAGCTCAGAGCAAATAGCAGTCACTCATCAAGCTATTCACCTTCTGGACGCACACTGACTCAAGAGTACCTAAGGGGGTACTTCACAGATGTTTGCTCTACCCATTCCACCCACACAACCAAGAGATGACAGAGAGAGATAATGCAAAATAAAACTTTATTAATCTTTTAAAAGCGTGGTAACAACTGAGAGATTTTTGGTCACACAGAGAATCACCAGAAAATACACCAACTTCTGATGTTTGATTTGACAGCAGACACCTGAACACAGAAACTCACTTTACCAGGGCTTGTTCCAGCAGTCTGGATGCTGTCTCAGAACCATCTCCAACCACTCCTGAAATCTGAGAGAGAAAACCGAAAGACTGCTAATTAAAGGAGATGCAATAATAACAGACCTTCTGTCTTCATATTCCCAAGTAATTCATTTACCTTCCCGTGGCCCTCCAGCACTCAATCATTCCCTTGAGGAGAAGTGGTGCATACGACAGGAGCCACATTCCCTTAGGTGGGGGAGAAACTCCCTGAGCCACACGAAGAGGCTCAAAAGATGTATTCACTCTGGAATCAAGCCCAGATCATTTCACCTCTGTATCCTGGAGAGAAATACAAGTGAGAAGGAAACTAGCAGGTAAGCTACAAAACAAAGCAACACAAAAGAGTACAGAGAAACAAACAAGAATTACTGGATAAATGAAAGAAAATAAAGTCAATTCCTTACCTTCTTAACACTGCCACCCAAAGGTGCCAAAGCTCATCAAAATACACTCCAGGCCCAGTCAGGCTAACAGCAAGTACAGTGGGAGCGAGTAATCCTCCATCATGACATCTGAGAGTGAATGAGCTATGTAATCTTTTATTTAATGTTAATTTTAGCACGGTTATATTATACCACAATAGGTTCGGCTCTGGTGGCTACAGTTTCAAGTTCAACAGAGTTATCTGTTTGTTCTAGATCTAGAATAGGAACACATGAAACCATAGGCAAGTAACATACAATCGCAAGAACAAGGTCCACTATATTTTAGCAAAAAGAAAAGGAGTACTTGTGGCACCTTAGAGACTAACAAATTTATGCTCAAATAAATTTGTTAGTCTCTAAGGTGCCACAAGTCCTCCTTTTCTTTTGGTGAATACAGACTAACACGGCTGCTACTCTGAAACCTATATTTTAGCAGTTTCATTAAAGTTGCCAACAAAGTTAGGAATGTCACAGCATATAAAATTCCTAAAAATATCCATGCACCCATTATAACTACAGACATAACACCATCTAGGAGGATGTGAGTAAGAGTCTGATGGGTCTCATGGATTGATCACCAATACAGGGTAGTCCCTGCTGGAGTTTTCCCATTGGAAGCTCAATTTTCCCAGCTCCAGGCACCCTTTCTTATAATGTGATTCTGTCTATACCTACATTCTGTGCACGTACATGAAAGTGTCAACCCTCTCTTTTCTTATTGGTGCGTGTCCCCTAGAAACATAAGGGACCCAGAATTCTATAGGCTGTATAGGTTCTCTTTAGTCTCATTAACATTGACCTACCCCCTGTATCCTGTGGTTAAGACAAATGTTGGAGACAAGATGTGTTTTTACAGAATTTTTATAATTTAGAATTAATCTTCCAGCTAGATTTTTGCATTACCACCACTTGGTACCTCTTTTCCCATAATCTTAGGGCATCGGATTCTTTTTCAGTCATTTACTTATATCAGCATTTCTATTATCTCCAAGGCCTAAAATAGCTAAGCTACAGTCTTGCAGGCCTCAACCTACAAGTTCTTGCATTTCAGCTTTTCTTACTTATATCTAATACATGATTCCATCTAAATACGGATCAATTAACTCTATTTAACATACAATGAATATTAGAAAAGAGACTACTAAGAGGGGATATGATAGAGGTCTATAAAATCATGACTGGTGTGGAAAAAGTAAATAAGGAAGTGTTACTCCTTCTCATAACACAAGAACTAGGGGGTCACCAAATGAAATCAATAGGCAGCAGGTTTAAAAACAAACAAAAAGTAGTATTTTTTCACACAATGCACAGTCAACATGTGGAACTCCTTGCCAGAGGATGTTGTGAAGGCCAAGACTATAACAGGATTAAAAAAACTAGATAAATTCATGGAGGATAGGTCCATCAATGGCTATTAGCCAGGATGGGCAGGGATGGTGTCCCTAGCCTCTGTTTGCCAGAAGCTGGGAATGGGTGACGGGATGGATCACTTGATTACCTGTTCTGTACATTCCCTCTGGGGCACCTGGCACTGGCCACCGTCAGAAGACAGGATACTGGGCTAGATGGATCTTTGGTCTGACCAAGTATGGCTGTTCTCATATTCTTATAACATATTGATTAATCATAACATCACACAATAAGTGGATAATAAACTAAAATCATTGGCTACAGCTAGCAGGGTATAAACCCTGCTCCTCATGATGCATGCATCCTTATGCCGGACAGAATAAGCTGAAGCAGGCAGCGGAACATTATAACAGACTTATTAGACATTATGCACGTGCTCTAGAAAGCTGAGCCAGGAATTTTAAGGTAGAGGCCATGATCCAAAGGCCCTCCAACGTCTGCAGGGAGCACTGCATCCAGAAGCATTGCACTGTAACCTCCTGGAACAGGATGGCTAACGTGGATGCTCTGTACAATTGCAACTTGCACTTATTCAACAGCACTGGTACAAATTTCAATAGTACAATTCCCAACTGCAGACAGGCCTAACAGGTAATTTCTCCAGGTTATTTTGACAGGGTAGCACGAGTATTCTCGCATTTTTATCTGAGGGCTGGTATATACTACTGCAGCAAGTCGACCCAAGTTACGTTATTCACGTAACCAAAGTAGTGTAACTGAAGTTGACATAGCTTAGACCGACTTATCACGGTGTCTACACTGTGCTGGGCTGATAGGAGATGCTCTCCCGCCAACTTCTTTTACTCTTCTTGAGGAGGCAGAGTACATCATCGATGGGAGAGCGCTCTCCCATCGATTTAGCGGGTCTTCACCAGACCCGCTAAATTGACACCCACTGCATCGATTGGAGCAGTGCTAATCTACTAGTAAGCGTAGACATGGCCCTAGTGCATCAATATAGTGTTCGATGTTGCAAACAAGACAGCCTGTATCAAAGAACTTAGAAGATAGCTCAGCTGACTTGCATTATTATTTGTAGTACCATTTTCTCTATTGCCCCCCACACCAGCACAACACCACAGACATTAACGTATGTGTCCTCACAATATCCCAGGCAAGGTAGAGATATTTCTTCCATTTTACAGATGTGTAATGGAGAGACAGAGATGAAGTGACTTTCCCAATGTGACACAGCAAGTCCATAGCCAGAAATTACCTAAATCTCATCCCACTTGACCACAAGATGGCCTTTCCTCCCTGATTTTTCAAGTGCCTTTGATGAGCAAAAATTAAGTTTACAAACATTATTTTGTATTCAGTTTGAAAATAATTTAAGGAAAAAGAATAGTGAACTTTAGTCTCCAGAAGCAACCCCTCAGCAACTTTCACAAAGTATTACACATTTTAAATAAAAATAGACATCTGAATTATATTTAATCAACTTCAGTGTTCAAATAGTACTAATCTTCACTCTGAAAACACCAATGTTTTATTAGACATGTTTAAAATAAGCATTTAGTTAAAACGGTAAAAAGATGAACAACTGTATTCACATATAAACATGCAAAAATGACATCCACTGGCAGGAAGGGGACTTAGATATTTCTACAGTGTATCTCCACTAAAAATTCACTTATGCACTGGAAGATTTTAGGTTAGATAAAGACACTAAAATTTAAAGGAGTCATGTAATCAAAACTTCATCGTGTAATATTTCACCTATACACCTAAAGTCATTCTTAAATAATACCATGCTAACTAGGTCCCCAATGCAAGAAAAAAAAATCCCCCAAAAAATTACACAAATTGATTATTTTAGAGAGGAAACTTGTCTAACTTTAAAAATATTGCTGTAAAATTGTAGTGGCTCCCAATAAAGACTGAAAAGGGAAGTACAATATTTGGCAAGTTTGTCTGAGACTACTAGTAACATTTCTGGTCTTGCTATCCTACCTGCCTGATGGAGCTTTCAGGCACACCCTACATTTCTCACCCCACACAATGGCTGAAGCCACTTATGAAAAAGTCAATCTATGGTGAATTAAATTTGTAGTTTATGTTTCAATATTTTGAAAACTAGAAGAGGGGAAGTAATGGGTAACAGAAGTTTACAAAGGATATTTCTGTAGACACATAACATTAGAAAAGATGATTAATGGTTAAAAGATAACATTTTAATTTTCAGTAATCACCACTAGAAGACAAACTACAGGACAATATCTTGTACATGTCTATGTCATTCACACTATGCATGTTTTATTTCCTTTGTTATTTCCTTAATCTAATCTTGATATTGCATTTTGCTCTGTGTATGGAGGATGCAACAAAAGCATTTTTAAAATTCTAGCACTATACTGTTTTAAAATAGACCCTTTAAAAAAAAAGAAACAAGCATGCCATATATTACTCAAAACCATATCAGTTTTCTCATACTAGTTTAGGCATTATAAATTGTGTTTATATACAGACATTGCTTTTGATTCCCTCACTGCCTCAATTAAAATCTCTTCCAGAATTAAAACACTTGGAATAAATATTTTAGTTTCTTGAGAATCCAGGTCAGACGAAAGAGATCCAAATATAAAATTTGTTAGATAAAACTGGCTTTTAATATGACTGCAGTGAAATCCTTAATAATCAGATGACCAAGATCATTCTAGCACTGAGGAAACGGAATGTTTCATATAAAAAAAAAAAAAAAAGTCAGCTGTCAAATAAGGACACGGGGTTTACTTAAGGCTGATTCAACATCTCCCATGACAGATGGAATGAGGCTTCAGAAAGGCATAAACAGAAAAGATGCTTTTAAACAAATAATGGTTTTTATAAAGTGGTGGGGTGGGGGAACAGGAGAAGCAGAAACATAAAGCCGCACATCATTAAGGCCCTAATGTTAAAAATGGCTCTGTGTAGGTAAATGTTAGACCCACACAGAGCTGTTTTGACTTCAACAGGGCTCTGTGCAGACAACTGGATTTACTCATGCAGAACCATTTCCAGGATTGAGGTCTTTTTGGATTGTATGAGGCCTCACATAGCCACAAGATACTATCTAAAGTTTGAAAGGTCAGGAAATAGGTTTGCCTGCAAGACAGCACTTTGTTTCAACATGATTGTTGTTCATAACAGCCTTCCACGACTTCCTGCATCTGAATGTTGTATCATAAGCAAGCTACACAGGGTCACATGACAGGAGGGCAAGGGACATGGGAGGAAAGAAGGGGAAAAGGGAAATCAGCAAGTTTATATCCACATTAGATAATACATGGTCACAATAACCAAAGAAAACAACTATATTAATGATTAAACAGACGGGAGCATCACCTGAAGCTACAGAAGTGATAACATGCATGATAAGCCCTCCTGGATGCTATAAAAATATGTATTTTTCTGGTTTCAGAGGAACAGCCGTGTTAGTCTGTATTGTTTGCCATTTGTAGTGCCTGCATAAAAGGGATTAATGTTTGACAATCTTCTTAAATAAGTTTCCTTAATTGTGGTACTAATACATAACTCATCAGATCAAAGAACGTTAGAGAAGTTGGAGAATAAAATTACTTTTTTGGTATTTTCACTTCACTCAGTTTGGACAGTGAAGAACAGAACAATTTCAGAATTGTTTTTAGTCAATGATACTGTCAGGGTCCCACCTTTGGCTTGCAAAGACTAT